GAAACTGAGCGTGGAAAGGGAGTGCAGGACATGTCGATCTTTTCTGAGAAGAACGAGAAGGTGGAGAGGTATCATCAGCAGGTAATTGTCATTGGCGTTTAGGCGTGGGACCAGAGTTGGTCCGACGTGGAATGGGCCGGCGATTTGAAAATTGTCGCACCATAGAGGGAGAGGCTGGAAGCATAGTCAAAGGAGAGCGGAGGTCAGATAAATCAAAGGAGTCAGTCGAGACCTCAGTACCTGAAGCAGGTGAGGAAACAGCACCGGCAAGAGGTACAGAGGCATGAGGAGCGTCCGAAGAGCGGTCCAAAGACGAGGCGGGGTCAGAACAGGGTGCGGTATCAAGAAGAGGCCCGGGGGTACCAGGTTCATGGATTGGGTTCTCCATGGTTAGGTTACTTCTTTCTTTTTGTTTTTAAGAAAAAAAAAGAAAGAAGAAAAGAAAATAAAAATAAAAAAGGGGGGACCGGGGAGGGATAGTTCCTAGGAGGAATGAAAGGGCCAGAAATCTCCTTCCGCAACCATGAGGACCTCAGCACCGCAAGTAGCATAGATGCAGCATGGAACCCATGCCATACCCTACCCATCATGCCAGTAAACCGGCAATCTAGGATAGCAACCTCACATCTGCCGAGCTACCTCGATGGACAAATGAGAGGGTGGCCGGAAATCCGCCACAAAGCATACCTCCTTCGGCCACCACCCCCGGAATCCGAAAGGTGGCTTCCAGAGATACACCCGTCGCCCGAAAGACACCCAAAGCCACTCTCCGTGATACTGGAGAGGGATCGGGACATCCCCAGGCGATCCAGATTCCACAGCAAACTACGCCACCGCCAAGAACCTCAACGGAATGGGATGGACCCCGATACCCTTTCCCCTACCTAGGAACTAGCGCACCTGTGGGAAAAATCCTAAAGGCCAAAAAGAGGAAGGGCAAAAGGGAGGGGTGGGGAGGGGGAGGAGGAAAGGGAAAAGGGGAGGATGGGGAGGATGGGATAGGGAAGGGGGGATTGGGGGGTAATTAGGTTCGGTCTGAGGAAGGAGACCGACAGGTCTAATTCCTCAGACCAAGAGCCTCTTCACCACGCCAAGGAGCCCCCCTTGAAGAGGTTTACTGGCAATAAAGGAGTCTCATTACGCTGTATTTGCCTCTGTTTCCACGTCTTTATTTTTACACATTTCCACTTTCCTGTGTCAACAAACTTGGTGAATAAAGTTGTGTAGAAGTGGGAGTGACTAAGTTACCTCCTAGCAAGTGCCTTTCCCGATGCTACTTAATTAACACTCTCGAAGCCATAAAATATCTGTTTGCAATAAAGGACCTGAATATTCCCTGTGTAATAATGACACCTTTGCTCTCTTTTTTTATTTCATATGGTTTAGAGCTTAATATTTTTACTGTATAATTTCATATTTTTTTATTTTTTCGTTTTTTTTTATATTCGGTTTTGTTCGAAGGTGACTACCCAATTTTTTTTTTTTTTTTTTTTGACGAGCGCCTCGTTTCCCCAGGTCACTCGTGTTTATGAGGATATTACACCATTTAGAGTATTAAACAAGGCGAGACTTACCTTTGAAGGGATAGGCTGAGGAGATGACGGTTGTTATGAAGGAATACCCTGCCATCAGCACCAGTCCCAGGCACACCAGCATGGCCAGACTCACTATCTTTGTCTTAATCATTTTGCAAGAGTAAGATACACTTGGTGTGTTGTCCTGCTGGTGATGGCTGAGTCGGACGATACTCTCAGTGTAGTGTCCTGCTGGTGATGGTGGTGGAGTGGACAATACTCTCAGTGTGGAGGCTTTTATGTGTGATGGAAGGACGATACTCAGTGGGGAGGTGTTATGCTGGGATGGTGGGTGAGGACGATATTCTTGGTGTAGAAGTGATTGTGATGGTGGTGACTGGATAGTATGTTAACAATACTCTTGGGTTTTTCGGAGGTTTAGTAAAATTTTTTTGGGGAAGTAACTGTTACGGATAATGGAATAATATACCAACAAGATTAGAAAAAGAAGCCACTCGTGGCGAAACGTTTCCTCTGATAAATGTCCTGAACTGTACACAATTTTTTTTCCCTATTTCTGTTATGTTTCGCCAGGGAAAGATATTCCCGACAGAGCTCTCAAGCATAGACAGACATCTGAGACACGCTTGGTTAAGGCGGGCACACCTAAAACCGCACCAACTAACAGCAAAGTTGTTAGTTATTTGCCAAATTTCTTCATAAGTGCACCAGGTATTTCCGGCAGAGAAGTCCTTGAATATTTTACCAAGTTTGGACTACAAATATAACTGGTACAGTAGTAGTAGGCGAACCCTAAGATGCTGTATGGAGACCTGTTCTGGCTTCTAACGTCTCGTTCCTGTTTGAAAAATTGTCTGTGAGGCATCGAAGGCATTGTAAGACTTCACCATTTTCCAGTAATATTAAAACTGTTGGTACTTGAGGCTTCGTGGTGGTATGAGAGGCTGGCTATGGGGGGTATAATATCTGAAGGGGTAGCTAAGAAACAACAGCTGGAATGTCCGCCATTCATCAGTCTAGCTCAGTGACATTCGTGGGGGTGAGGATGTGCAACCTTTCTTCCCTTTTCTGCTGACGTTCTAAACCATCCTCCTTGTTGACGTTTCAAACCATCCTCCTTGCTGACATACTACCTTCCACAATGCTACTGATATCCTACCGCTCTCCCTCCTGGCTACTGAAACTTCCTTCTTTCTTGCTACGATGAAACCTTCCTTATTTTTCTCCTACTAATTTCCTCCACTCCAGGTCGTTCTACAGCTCATTCATCTTCCTTCTCTTCCTCAGGTTATCTCATAACACTCTAGCATCGTTACGAGCGTTCTTCGTCTCGGCGCTGATGCTTTCGGTTCTCCCGTGCGTCTTCCCCTGAAGGCAAAAAAATACTTACATTAATATTAGAGAAGATTTGATGAAGATTTGCAATTATAAAAGCAAACTCACACTGACGCCCACAAACCCACACTAAAGCCCACAAACCACACAAAGCCCACAAACCCCCAACAGAGACACCCCCAAAACCCCAAAACAACGCCCACAAAACCCCCATAACGCCCCACAAACCCACACTACCGCCCACCAAACCCACACAAAGGCCCACAAACCCACACTAACCCCACAAACCCACACTGACGCCCACAAACCCACACTAAAGCCCACAAACCCACACTGACGCCCACAACCCACACTAACCCCCACAACCCACACTGACACCCACAAACCCACACTGACGCCCACAAACCCACACTGACGCCCACAAACCCACACTGACGCCCACAAACCCCTACAAGACCCCACAAACCCAACTAACGCCCACAAACCCACATTGACGCCCACAAACCACACTACGCCCACAAACCCACAGAAAAACCCCACAAACCCAAACTAAAGCCCACAAACCCACATGACGCCCACAAACCCAAAACTGACGCCCACAAACCCACACTGACGCCCACAAACCCACTGAGACAAAAATCAAACCCCCGCCCGCCACAAACCCACACTGACGCCAAAAACCCACAGAAACCCCCCAAACCCACACTGACGCCCACAAACCCACAATCGCCCAAAACCCACACTGACCGCCCACAAACCCACTAACCCCACAAAGCCCACACTGACCCCACAAACCACACTGACGCCCACAAACCCACATGACCCCCACAAACCCACCACTGACGCCCACAAACCCACACTCGCCCAAACCCACAATGACGCCCACAAACCCACACTAAAGCCCACAAACCCCATGAAAACCCCAAAAACCCACACTGACGCCCACAAACCCACAGGGAACCCCCCAAACCCACACTGACGCCCACAAACCCCCCAACTGGCGCCCACAAACCCACAATGACGCCCACAAACCCCACTGGACCCCACAAACCCATTGAGAAAAAACCCACCCCAAAAACCCCCACAACGCCCACACAAGCCGCTACACTGACGCCCACAAACCCACACTGACGCCCACAAACCACACAAAAGCCCACAAACCCACACTGACGCCCACAAACCCACACTGCGCCCACAAACCCCTGAACCCCACAACCCACATGACGCCCACAAACCAACAAGACAACCCACAAACCCCCACAAGCGCCCAAAACCCACACTGGCGCCACAACTACACTGACGCCGCCCACAACCCCCCCACACTGACGCCCACAAACCAACGAGACACCCACAAAAAACCCCCAAAAGACGCCCACAAACCCACACTGGCGCCACAAACCCACACTGACGCCCACAAACCCACACTGCACGCCCACAAACCCAGAGACCCCACAACCCATAATGACGCCACAAAAACCCCCACTGACGCCCACAAACCCACACTGACGCCCCAAACCCCACTGACGCCCACAAACCCACACTGACGCCCACAAACCCCACTAACGACCCACAAAAACCCCCACTGACGCCCACAAACCCACACTGACGCCCACAAACCCACACTAAAGCCCACAAACCCACACTGAACGCCCCCCAAACCCACACTGACGCCACACAAACCCACACTGACGCCCACAAACCCACACTGACCCCACAAACCAACAGACACCCACAAACCCACACTGACCGGCCAAAAAACCCACACTGACGCCCACAAAAACCCCACACAAACGCCCACAAACCTACACGAAAGCCCACAAATCACACTAACGCCCACAAACCCACATTGACGCCCACAAACCCAAAAAGAGAACACCCACAAACCCACACTGCGCCCACAAACCCCACCCCCTAACCCCCACCCCAAAACCACACTGACCCCCACACATCACGTCACACACCCACACTGACGCCCACAAACCCACACTGACGCCCACACACCCGTCACACACCCACACTGAGCCCACAAAAACCCCCCTGACGCCCACACACCGTCACCCCCAACAACCCCCACTGACGCCCACACACCAGTCCACACACCCACACTGACGCCCACAAACCCACACTGACGCCACACACCAGTCACACACCCACACTGACGGCCCACATACCCACACTGGAAACGCCCACACACCACACACACCCACACTGAGACCCCACAAACCACACTGACGCCCACACACCAGTCACACACCCACACTGACGCCCCCACAAACACCCCCACTGACGCCCACACACCAGTCACACAAACCCCCACTGACGCCACAAACCCACACTGGGCGCCCACACACCAGTCACACACCCCCACTGACGCCCCCCCCACCCCACCAGTCCCCACACACCCACACTGACGCCCACACACCATCCACACCCCTGACGCCCACAAAACCCACACTGACGCCCACACATCCCCAACATTCACATTATATTATTGTCTAAGTTCCAGTACTATATATACAGTGTTTTCATGATTAATGTTAGAAAAAACTTGAGTGTCAGCTGTGTGTTTGGGCTCTCCAAACATTCCCACACACACCACGCCCATCCACCCACGCTTACCCCCGCATACCCAGACAAGTAAACACCGCCCACAAACCCAAATACCCCTGTTCACACCCCCCTACTGATGCCAACTTTCCCACGCCAACAAATCACACGGATGGATCAGTAATTAAATGAACATTTCGCTACTAGGGATTTAATCATGTTCCAAAACATGTATTTGAAGTGGCTTAGGTCCAAGAGAGAAACACACTGCAACAAATCCCTTCGTGTGTGTGCGCAGTTATGATAACCGTCTCAGTACACCTTCCCCTTTACCTGTGTTATTTGGGGAGTCGACCTGTGTGGGCCACAGACTTGACCTCTGTCTCCGTACTGAATTAAAAGCCATTGATGGGCAAACGTCTAGAAAAAAAGTTACCCAGGCGTTTCACAAATACCTAGTTGATCAACGAGATATTATTGCATGGGCATTAACCTGATCAAATATATGTATTCAATTCTTAGTATCGTTCCGCTGGTTCGTTACACAAGAAAACATTAACGAAACTCAAGCCAGACCTCAGCAAGAGAAAAATAATTAAAATGAATAATAGCAAATATAATTATAAGTTATCTTGAATGAATATAATTTGCATAATGAGCCTGTGTTTAGATTCATGAAAGGCCAGTCTTATCCAGCAGGAAATTATCTATGCAGCACAAACATGGTCCTGGAGAGTACACAAGAGAGGTCCTGTCAGGTGCTCGGAAGGCACTGGCCATGAAAATAGTGATAGTAATAGTAGTAGTGATAGTAATAGTAGAAGTAGTAGTAATAGTAGTAGTGTGTGAGTCAGTAGTGGTAGTAATTTAGGTATGCTTTGCTTTCATGTAATAGCAGTGCTTTACGACTTAAGGTAATGCTGACTAGGTGAAGTGACTGAATCGGTGAAGGCTGGTACCTAGGTGAAGATGACCGAGTTATTGTGTGAAGGACTGGTACCTAGGTGAAGGTGACTTACTGTGTGAAGGGCTGGTACCTAGGTGAAGATGACTGAGTTACTGTGTGAAGGGCTGGTACCTAGGTGAAGGTGACCGAGTTATTGTGTGAAGGGCTGGTACCTAGGTGAAGGTGACCGAGTTACTGTGTGAAGGGCTGGTACCTAGGTGAAGGTGACCGAGTTACTGTGTCAAGGGGGAAATTAAGCAGCCTCCAGACATTCACGTTTTACAAGTGTATGGTTCCTCATTAACTAATCGGGCATCACTCCACTTTTTTCAAGTGGCTGGTGAAGTTTTGGTGCAGCAGGCAGGCATTGTTGTTATCTGCACACTTAAGTGTGCTCGTTTAGATGCGTCTATGTTACGTTGTTTCTCCGATGTACACCTCACATCCCCCGCATAACAAATTACCACAGACTGGTTCCCGGGCCTTGTCCTTAGTCCTAGTAAGGCCAGCCTTGGTCTACCAGATCTCCCTGATCAACAGAGGTCTGGTTATATGATCCCGGTTATATAATGACTGGACAAGCATCATCATCATATAACAGAAACCCTCCTCAGGAAACACTTATCATGCTTCCTAGTGAGATCTTTGACGGGATACCGAGTGTCATGGCGACTCGAATGTCAATTTGTCAGTGTTTTAGAGGTATAAAGACAATTTAGCTGCTGAGAGGGTTAACTATAGCATGTGATGATGGTCTGTGGTGAATTGATGTATATAATATATTTGTTGTTATCGTGATGAAAGCAGAAAACAAGTAGCTAAGCGCAGTATCAGGGTTCGTGTTAGTAAGTGATGGCATCAAGAACACAACTGATAAACTGTTAGGTGAGCCCAGGCCTACCACATCTGCCTGTCTCCTAGTTCTGGTGCAGAGTGAGGCAGAGGTCTGTAAGGCACCGCCTATGTGCCAATTCAAACGGGGGTCACGTGATTAAGGCTTTGTCAGGGAGCCTGGCTATAAATGGACTAAACAACATATATATACAAAACAATCAGTAACAACACTGCGATTAGCCGAGGAGTCGAACCCATGCTGCTTTGAGGTGAGCGAAAGACGCAGACGCTCTAGTCCAAAGCAGCATGGGCTAGACTCCTTGGCTAGTCGCATGTTGGTTAGGTAAGACACATAGCAACAGTTAGGTATCTTTATTTTGAAACGTTTCGCCTACACAGTAGGCTACTGTGTAGGCGAACGTTTCATAATAAAGATACCTAACTGTTGCATATGTGTCTTACCTAACAATCTGTCGGTATTTTATACCATTTTAATGTTCAGTCGCAGTGTTGTTACTGATCAATACCGCTCGTTCGTGGGTACAATAATATACTAAACAAGTATTACACTGTTGATACCAGGGTTCTTATACTCTTCGTAGAGGTATTTATGGAGAAATTTATTCCCTGGTGAGCTCCAGGACAAGGGTAACTTTTAATTCTAGTGTCGTGATGATTATTACTGGTAGGCTGTCTATTTAGGGCG